ATCAGATATCTGTGACAGAAGAAACTAAATGAAATGTGTAATTCTTTCTCTTGGCTAACCAATGAACACATGGCCAGTGGCTTGGTACTGAAAAAGTTAAAGTTTATGAGAGAGTTAATTTCCTTCTTCCTTCTTCTTCAGCATTCTGAGCCCTTTAGGTTCATTGCTGCAGATATATGGCCTTCTCTTACCAGCTGGTGACACCATGTGTTTGCAGGTCTGTCTGGGTATTATCTCTCCATCGTCTTCTTGGTCTGCCTCGTGGTCTACGACAATTCATCTCCCACGTGTATAAAGTTCTAACCTCTCTGTCATCTGACATTTCAGACATATAGATGTTAATACACAATAATAACTGGCGTTCAAAGCATACTGTTACCAGACTAATCCCTTGTACTGTTAGTTATACTAAGTACATAGCTCCAAAATGTCAACATTACTTCCTTTGAGTCAAAAATGTTTAGTCTGCATTTATAATGTTTGCAACATAAGTAAAATCATTATATGTCAAGGGAAATGTACAAATGAGAACATGAATATTGAATGACACAGATTTGGTTACAATTATAAACCTCAAACCAATGTTAATAAATTGTTTAAGAAGAAAACAGAGGAGTAAATTAGGAGAAGAAAACATTCAGAAAGATGAGCATAAGAAAAGAAATAAGTAGAAGGAAGAGAAGAAGAAATAAGAAGACAAGGCAGAGGAAAAGCTAGAGCAGAAGAAACAAGTGGACAAGAAGCAGAAGAATAACAATAAAGTGAAAGAGGAGATGAAAAGAATGAAGCAAAGAAGAAATAAAAATAAACACTACATCAAACTCATTTTAAAATAAATTAAATTTAAATACAAAAAAATAAAAACTACACTTAAAGAATGTCTAAATGTGAGTGGATCGACTGCATAGCAACAGCCTTTGCTCTAAATGGCTTCACTCTTTCTGCCAAGGGTGTCACATAAAGTATGGACTGTAGCTCCAGCAATTATCCTTAGCATCTCTGAACACCTACACTCACCCAGAGAATGACAGTCTTGATAATGAACTCATAACCTTCAGAATAGACAGCAAATATCTTAACGACTCCACCACAAAGTGGGCAGTTATAATTTTATATACACCATGAACATCTTATTTATATCCACTATGAATTATTATCAATAGATTTGCATCGGCTATCACCCAAAAAAAACAACAAATGATGAAGAAATTGAAAATCCCAAATTTTGAATGTCTGGGCTCTATAATAAATAGCAATGTAGACTGTTCGACAGAAGTCTTAAGCAGGATGGTCATAAAAATACAAAGATTAAACAGCATTTAAGGTATATAGTTAAGTATATAGTTAAGTATATAGTTAAGTATATAGTTAGGTATATAGTTAGGTATATAGTTAGGTATATAGTTAAGTATATAGTTAAGTATATAGTTAAGTATATAGTTAAGTATATAGTTAAGTATATGGTTAAGTATATAGTAAAGTATATAGTTAAGTATATAGTTAGGTATATAGTTAAGTATATAGTTAAGCACCAGCAAGTTAAAATTCTGACAGCATACATGCTCCCTGTAGCAAGATACGGAAGTGAGTCATGGACTGTCTCCCAGTTCTTACGGAAGAAAATAGGGGCTTTTCAGCTGAAATGCTATAGACAGATTCATAGAATACCATGAACAAAGAAAAGAAATACTGACATATTTAACGATCAAAACATCAAGGAAGAATGCTAACAAACAGTATCTTAACTTGGAAGCTGAAATATTTTGCGCATATCAAGCGCAACAGCGGATTGAAAAAATAATAAAAAACACAGCAGAAGGCATGGTACAGGAAGGAGGGGCAGACCAACACGAAGATGGGCAGAGGATATAAGTGAATCCTTGAGAGCTGGTGAGAGACTGAGTTCCTTTTAGGCAGTTTGTGACGAAAGCAACATTCTGCAAAAGATCTACTACATGATGATTACCATTATAATAATACTGCACAAACAAAAATATTTGTTGTTAATTATGCAATTTTACTAAATAATTAAGCAATTTACTGCTTAACTCTTTCAGTCGCAAACAACATGTGATGTGTAATTAGCACGGCTGTGAATCCCACTCAACATGTAACATGTTGTAGTCCTTTTTCATAGTTGGTCACAATATTTGAAGAAATCTGGCTTCCCTTGTATTTAACACTTTGTTTTTTACACTTTCTTTTATCACTTGTCAGCCCTCTAGATTACACAAATTTCGGTATTTTTTTAACAATCATTCCTTTTTAGTATTTATGCTAAAATTATTTTAACATTATTTACTGGCATTTATTTTAAAATCAATTCTTTTTTTGCTAAGTGTCTGTCAACAGGCAGTGAATTCATACAAAAGTAAGAAACTTAAAATATTCACTAAAAAATGAAAAGATACAAACAACACATTTGTTATTTAATGCCTCTATTAAATTCTGATTATAACAGCTTCATTTAATGATATACATAAAATTACAGAAAATAGGAAATAACATTAAATAACAGGCTATTACCATAAAAATAAATAAGAAGACACAGACAAAGGAGTACACTGAAAAAAATTAAATAAATTTATGATATGGACAACCCTGATAAAGATAAAGTACACTGGAAGTTAATAGACTGCTGCAACTCTTTGAAGCATCAACTATATCAGGGGCAATTAAGAGAATTATGTCTGTGACATTGTGATCACCTTAGAGATGTGTCACCCAGTTCAAGAATGATCACCCGGCATGCATATTATTCAAATCATCAATCCTGCACAGTGTTAATAATGAACCAACATAAAATATATCCAGGAATCTTAACAAAAGAAAGACATACGCATAAATGCAAAAACTTTAACCAAAGTTGTTAAACAAATGAAAGCTTGGGTGATTGGCTTAATAAAATACCACAATTAGCACCCTCCAAAAGAATCTAAACATATAAACGGACTAAAAAATCAATTATAACTTTAGTTTTTTATATTGTTGAAATTTTCAGATAAATGAAGTTTTTTCAAGACTGATAATTTTGTTTCTGTGATACTAAGCATTCATTTTCCCACTTTTTTATTTGCTAAAAATATATTTACATAAATGTTTCCCTTGATCTGTTATGTGCTTTCTTTGTCAGGCTTACTAGCATTGTTTCACTTTTATTTGTGTTTATGATGAGCCAGCTATCAGTTAGATAACTTTACTACTAGTTAAATAGTATGCAAACTCGCGGTAACCATGAATGTCTACAGTCTGCAATCGAGTAATAACTTATTATTCAGCAGTCACCCTTAAAAGCGTGGTTAGCATTTTGTTTTGTGGTTTACAGCTAGATTGTGTTATTTGGACCCTTTGACAGGCATATTTTAGCAAAACACCTAATTAATTCCCCCTTTTGTGGCATACTCGTTTAGGGGCAGTGATTCTATTAATTTGTTTCTTAAGTAATAACTCAAAACAACAGTAAACAAATCAAGCTTACGTTTAAAAAAAAAAAATTAATTCCACTACAGAGACTGTTGTTTGTATGTGAAGTGTTAAGCCTTCACATACTCATGGCCTAGAATATATGTTAAAAAAATAGCAGTTTAAAACTCAATTACTTTAAATAACTTCCACTTATACGAATAAAATTGACCCTATGTAGGTCAACAATGTACACACTGCATTGTACTTAAATCTCTACACGTTTTCAAATAGAATTTAGGATTGAGGCCACAACAAATGTTAAAAGTCCCTCATATCTGCCGATCTGATTCAAGTCTTGATCAGGTCAATCTAACTTTCTGCCAGAGTTTACAGCCGGTGAGTGCGAAGAAGAAATCTAATATTTGGAAAGGCACTAACTCTTTCAGAGTACATTTCCCAACAAATGCTAAAAGCAACAGTATCTCACCGCTGCATGAGTGTATTACTTTCATAGAGGCAGCAGATAGACACTTTGTTTAAAACAAAAACTGTACTGTATACCAGAGGCTAGATTTCAAATAGTAGGCATCAGATAACATGATGCATTGCTTGGTTGACATAGCAAGTATTGTATTTTCCATGCATATGTTTTCTTAAATTTTCTTAGTTAAAAATTAAGGGGGGGGGGGGGGGAGGGTGTCCTTATACATGGAATGTGATTACAACATTTATTTTTTAATTGTGACCTAATGAAATCGGGTTTATCTGTAACATGGGTTTTTTTTTTTAATACACATAAAAATATGGTAACTCATCACACATGGCGTGCTGTTTGGGACTCAACATGTTAGCTCATGTGCTGTGCTGCTATACAACTCATTTTATGTTTTCTTGGTTGACTTTAAAAGTCTAAATTCTAATTTTTCTACGCATTGTTCACTTACCTTCATTTGTCTCATAGTATTTTAACTTAATCTTTAGACTCAAAGTGGTTAGTTTAGGCTAGGAAGAGTTACATTACCCAAAAGCCGGTGCTAACATAGCTAAAATATAGGAGAGAGCTATTAAACTGGTGGCCTGCAGGCCACACGGAGGCCTAGCAAGTGGCATGTGGATCATTACGAGATATCGTATTAATGAGTTTTCTATGCTTGGGTTCAGGCTACTGGCCTCTGACGATACCCATTTTCAAAATTGTGGCCCCTTGAATAGCCCTAATACAGGGTGTCCCATAAATTTCCATTACACAGGAAATATAAACATATCACCAGCACCAATACAAACATAACTCCAGCTGTGCTTATATGTGTTCTTCAGCAGTGGATGACATACATCAAAATATGTTTTCAAAACTATGGTAGTCATGCAAAGCATATTATATAAATTTAAAAAAAAAAGAAGCTAACTAAAATGGTTTTCACACACACACAAAATGTTTATTCCTCCCTTATATGGAAACTTATGGGACCCTAAACAAAGCTAGAAATTTTGTCTTCTTATTCAGGGCAAAATGAATCACCATTCCCATTTAAATAATTCAAATAAATAAAAATCAGAAACAGTGCAACTCTGATAAATTAAAAAGCTGAATATCTTTACGGAGTCTTGGTTGTGGCCTGGCTACCACTGTCATCACTTTTAGGCGGCAAAACATGGGTTGAAAACAAGATGATGAGGACTATGATGATAATAGCAATCAGTCCTACACAAACCAAAATTAGGGTCATCTTCTTGTTTCGCCACCAGTAGCGTTTCTGTATTTTTCTAGCTGTCCTCTGAAATGTTGCTGCCTGGAAACAAAAAGTACAAAGTTATATCACATTGTGGCAGGCACTTCAATGTAACAGTTTGTATGCTTGTTGGATGACAGGTAATGTAGACCTGTTTTGACATTAGGCAGTTAGGTACCAACTGCACAATGAAGTTTAGTGCAATGAATTACCAGCATTTATGTCTCTTGACATTATCAGCACACTTCCTGCCTGCTGTCAAACAGAACAGTATCATTCTGAGTTATGAGCTGCATCTGCAAACCCTAAGCTACTCACACATCCAAATATCATGCTATTCAAATGTGTGTCAAACTTTATCATAAAGCTGAATGCCACCACCTGCTAAGCTGATCAATCAAATTTATAAATTATAAAGCTGGCACTATTAAACCCTGGTTCTAGTTCTTTCGTTTCGTCCATACAGTCCTGATTACAAAATCTATGTGACGCAAAATTCCCCAGTGACAGGCTATTCTTTTAAAAAGAAATTTAATAGAGTGAAAGAGTTAATTTAGTTTCTGTAATGTTATTTTTAATGCTTAATGAATGTAAGTAGGATTCCTCAGTTTTTATTACTAAATCTAGTAGACACAGTTAGCAATAATATTCTCCCGCTCTTGATCTTACCAATGAAATACATAAATTATAAATCTGAAACTACTAACCCCTGCTTCTAGTTCTTCTGTTTTGTCCATAAGGTCTTCCAGCTTGTCTCCTCTTTGAAGAACCCGTTCAATGTTCTGTGACATGACCCCTTTCACTTCATCCACTTGAGCCTGAACTGCGGCCACAGCCCCACTGCTTCCAGATCCAGGCTGAGAAAACTTTTGCTGCAGACAGAATATTTGTTAATACACGGATTAAAACAAAACAGCAGTGTGTAATACAATTATATGTGGCATATGTATGATATGTCACTACTCTATGTATTTACCACTATTGCGGTGTAGGTTGGATGTCTTTAAGACTGAGGATTTAAGGCCGCATGGCTGGCGTAGCTACCACAGATTAGGATTAAATTTTTTGCCCTTAAAAAAACAACAACAAATCATTGACCTTACCGGGATTCATATCTCAGTCTCTAGCATAACTGCCCAAAATTCTTAGCCATTCAACCAGAATCCATGTCAAAGTGACTTACCAACCACCAACTAGTGCGGTAAAACCCAATAACAACAGCATGCACTGCCACATATCTTTCTTGTCATTCATTCCACAACAGTATCACCATCTATTGATCCTATCTATTGATCTGACTGTGGTAAAACACAGTAACCAGTAACTGAAAAAAATGGTGAAAATACGAAGGTGACTGCAGTCAAGCTAATCAAGGAATTCAAGTGAAATGTGACTAAAAAGCTTAACCAAAATAAGGAAGCAGAAAAACGTGCACAAAACAACATGCTATTCAAATGTTTTGTGCACATTTTGCTGCTTCCCCATTTGGTTAAGCTTTTTAGTCACATTTCACTGGAATTCCTTAACCAATAACTACAGCATGTAGCACTTTACAACAGTACTATATGTCAAGCCACTATAGTTAAAAAGTGTGCAATCTACACAGTGAAGGTTGCCTGCAATGAATCTCCAACAGTGTCTCTCTCTCATCTTGGTTGAACACTTCCACAGATCATTGTTTGTTTGTCTCCTAGTGTTTTTCTAACACTTGTACTGCTTTCTGCATCTTGCTCTTTCACCTTCAACTCTTAACTCCAGTATGATTTTGAACAGATTAATATGTCTTTAAATGTGGCCAAAGTATTTCACCTGTCTTTTAAAATTAGTTTTTTTTTCTCCATCAACTATTCGTTTTCTCCCCGGTTTCTCCAGAAGCTCTGTATTTAACTGTTTTTGTTTCTATAAAAAATAATCTATTCAACAACATTACAAAATATAAGTTTAATAACATCTGCCTGATGCTCAGCTAGTATTGAAAAGATCCTTTACTTTACTTACAGACTATATTTTTGTACATCAAAATTTTTAGAGACTCAGTTCAATTTTCACCCACTGCTGGCTGCGTTGATTTTCTCCATAGTATGGTGTCGCAGGGCGACCCAGCCTAAAATGGGTACCAAGATGGCTGTCCTGGGGAAGTAAAGATGGCCGGCGTAATGCTGACCACATAACCCACCCAGTGTCGATTGGTCTGTAAAAATATGGGACGCTCTTCCCATATACCTGATGCGCCTAAGGCGTGAAAAGGGATCTATACTTTCCTTATTTTTTTACAGTTAAATTTTCAATCTGGTTATTCAATATAACACACAACACAATACAGGGTTATTCAAAATGATGGATACACTTAAATTTCTGTATATTTCCTTGAATATACATTACATAATAATATACACACAAGAGAGAGTGGAAGGTCTAAAGTTTTGAATACACCTCTACCAAAAACGTGGCCGACCTACAGAATCACATTTCAGCTGGCTGCCGTGACCTCAATTACGCAAGAGATGCTTCTTCATGTGTGGGATAAGTCTGGCTTCCTGTTAGATGTTTGCAGAGCAGCAGACTGCAGCTTTACTGAACATCTGTAACCTCTTTTGTAAGTCGGAAAAAGTTATACCTTCCTCTCTTTCTTGTATGTATATTATTAATATGTAATGTATATTCAGAAAAATATACATGAATGAAAGTGTACCCATCATTTTGAATAACCCTGTATTATGTTGCACAGAACCAATACTGAACTTATAAGGCAGACAGCAAATCAAATGGTTTGGCCATGTATCAGGATTGGCATCAGACAGGGTACCACAGAGAGCAATGTTATACAGATACAACGGTAACATCAAACCATCAAATTGAATAACCCTGCCCCATCACTCCACAACAGTAATATCTGTCCCTCTGCTGTATTAACACACATTATTCTACACAAATGACTGTGTCTCTCTCAGGACCATCTTACCATTTGCTGAGTTAAAACAAAGTCAAAGTCTCTGTCAAGTTCTCCATGACCAGCAGTGTCAGCCCGGTTAGCTAACGCCCCCGACTGAAAACGACGTTTTATCTGAAATTAAGCATTTTAATCTTGACAAGAAATTGTTTCATCTCTGACACAAAAAGAACAAACAAAGTCTTAATGCAAGGTTATTTCTTCAAAAATTGTAAAAATACAATCTCAACCAGTATTAGAAGCAACACAGAATGTGACTAGAAAGCTCAATGGTGGGAATAGAAAAGACAGGCACAAATAATACCAAATGTTTGGACCAAAGCCTTTATCAACAGAGTACAACAAAAACTGAATAGAAAAACTCAGCGGAAAAGACAACCAAGCTTCTATTCCCTCTGCTGAGATTTTAGTCAGTCTGTATGTCTTTAGTACTTTCTGAGACCAGCTTGATTGCAGTCACTCTTATTTATATCACCAATCTAATAAACGCTTAACATTACTAGTTTTAATGGTGAATTTGTTTAATCTTCTCAGAAAAATACAAAAAACTATCTGAATTATAGACTTTGCTATGCAACATCAAAAGTCATCAGCTTCCACTTATGATGTTGAACATTGTGTGGAGAAACAGTTTAAGACCCAACACTCGATGAATGAGACTGGCTATTGCCATTATATAAAAATGTTGAATGTCTTTAATGTCACTGATTCATATTCTCCTTGGGTGTAAAACCTGTGTTCGTAGTTACTGTGGCTGCATTCTAACACAAAGACTGAACCATTAAACTCTCTGTTTCTGAATGAATTTCATGTAAGGTTTGTCCACCCAGTCTGATAGTATCATAATTCTCTTGGTCTCAGTGTGTTAAGTTGGCAGGTATCCACAAGCATCTCCTTCTGCAGGTATTAAGTATATGTAGGTGAGCCTCTGCCCTACTCTGACACTAGTTGCACAGTCTTGGTATTATTTTCTACTTCGTCGTGTTTACCACCTGTAAACTCTGACAGAAGCTCCAGTTGTTTATCCATTTGTCAACTGTGGTTTTGTTCTAGAACTTCAGTTTTGCATGCTTACACGTTTGTTTTATTTTTGTATACAGGCTTGGTTACTTGCCTCTCAGGTAGAGATGCATTCTGATTCTGTAGTAAATACCTACAATTAGTTGCCTCTTACAACATGTATATTGGGGGAAGGGGGCAGCAAGTCCCCCCCCCCCCCCTTTCCAATCGGGTTCTTAAATCCACACAGAGACCCAGGCCATGAAACACCGTAAAAAACACAATGCAGCCTGATCACACATAGGATGTAGGGACTCAATTGCATTATAGGCAGTCATGACTACCACACTCGCTATTTTTAGTAAACATAACCACATCTGGTCATCCTGAACTCTAGTCACAAACATTACCAAAGTGATAAATATGCCTCTTGGACACAGAAAATGCGACATCTCAAGTTTTTTTTTTTATATCTGTAACTGATATCAAAATGGGTATTTCTATTTTTCTGGCTGAGGGTAAGAGATCTGAGAGCCACAGTAAAGCTTGCCAGCCTAGTCATGCATACATCCAGCAAGAATCTTAGACAACAAAAATGGTTGTAGCTGAAAATGCAGGTGACTGAAATTTCTCAAAATGAAAATTGTGAAACAAAATAATTCATTGAACTAACCTCATTCAAGAACCCATATGGCTGCTGTTTGCTGATTCCATTCTCTGTGGCACATATATACAGGATGCCATTCTCAATGAGGCAGTGAAAATCGTAACTGAAACAAAATATAGCAAATTATATTTTTTTATACTTATTTGTGTGCATATCTCCATACGAGTGTGACTGCACTTGTACATGATTCTGTAAGTGTATACCGAGAAAGGAGGAAATATATAGATATATAGATAGATAGAGACAGAGAGTGAGAGAAAGAAATGATGAAAGAAAATAAAGAGGAAAATTATATTCCACTCAATAACAACTTACATAGAAGTTGTCTCTGTTACAATGCCCTTGTTAAACAGACCTCATTCTTATGTGTTTCATCTGCCAATGGAGTATAGGCTTTCAACCAACTTAAGCCATGATTTTTTTTAATTTGTACACAACAGGTGGGATTCTAAACCAATCAATCCTCATTGCGCCCAAAGGCACATAAGGTAGTGACATACTCACCACTCAGTTCGATCCTGAACCATCCTCTCTATCTCCAGTTTTCTACTTTGCGTAGCCTTCAGTTCACCCTCAAAGGGCCTCTGGGCCTGCCTCTTCATTGCTGTCCTTGTGGTGTCCATTGCACTGCCTTGTCTCGACAGTATCTCTTGTGGCATTCTATCTCTACAGAACTTCTGTATTTAATAAAACTGTTTCTTACTTGTTTGATGTGTATGTCTTCTTTCCATCTGTCTGGACTGGAATGTTTGGAAGCATTGATCGAAGAGTTTCAGAGAAGTTACCTGACCCTGTTTCTTGGGAGCACAGCACAGTTGTGCCCCTTGCAATACAACTATAGTGAATGGTCATTTTTGCCCCCAAATCTGCAAATACACAAAAAGACAAAAACTAAATAGACAGTATTTTTTTTAAAGGGGTGGGAGGGGGGGGGGGGGGGGGGAAGGGAATGTGTCTGAACGTTTTCAGCACCAAGCAATTTTCTTTCAACCAACCCCCCTTTGTTTTCAAAAGTTGAGCCTAAGAGCAATAATTACTAAGGCCTTAAAGAGCTCAACAGTAGTTAAACATACAATGACGATCATCATCATGTAGCAGGTCCTTTGCAGAAAGTCCCTCTCATCACAGTCTGCCTGAAAAAAACTTGGTCTCTCGCCAGTTCTCCAGTCGCATGCACTTTCACACTCAAGGAGTCACTTATGTCCTGTGCCTATCTTCGTGTCGGTCGGCCCCTGCACCTCCTTCCTGGTACCATGCCTTCTGCTATAATTTGTTCCAATCCGTCGTGGTGCTTGATATGATCAAAATATTTCAGCTTTCGAGAAAGGATGCTGTTTATTAGCCAATCTTCCTTGATGTTCAGATCTTTTAAGATGTCAATATTTCTCATCTTCTTTGTCCAAGATATTCTGAGAATCTTTCTATAGCATTTCAGCTCAAAAGCCCCTATTCTCTTTCTTAAGGACTGACAATGCAGATACAATGGGTTAATAAAACAACTGTTTGTTAAAGAAGAACATCATAGTATCTTTGAAATAACCAAGAAATGCATGCTGGGTTGATTGGTGCAGAAAGGGGTTTAAAGTAACAAATATACAGATTTCAAAATGAAATAATAATACATGCATTTTTAAAACCTTCAATGAGTTCGAAGAGGGAAACTTAATGACAAAAACATATTCTGCTCTCATGTTCCAATGTTAAATTGGTTATAAACTATTTCCAGCCATGGGAGCAGACTTTCTATAAGTTGGAATATGTTTAAAAATCTGATATTGTTTGAAATTTCATTAAAATAACCCGCAGAAGTAGCAGTATTAATATAATTTTTCAAGATTTACTTATTTCAAACTTTCCATACTCTGCTCCCTGTGTGGGTTTTTAGAGCCCCATTATGGGGAGAGGAAAAAAATATATACTGCTTCCATAACAAGCATTAAAGAGTAGACGAATCTGTAATCAGGGGTTTCCTCGGTTTCCTTCCAAGACAGTTAGACGCAATGAACCAACAGTCTGCATACAAATAAGCCAGACATATAAAATAGATAATTCAAATTCTGGAAAAAGACCAAAGTTCAGAAATGAAATCAAAACCAGAACTTTCCTCCTGAGTTTCAGCTAGTAAATGCAAAGACCAAAAAACCTTTAATTACAATAGTGATCCATAATAATCTAGCCTCTATCTGGAAGCAGAGCTAACAGACTGGCTAGCATGCCTGCTCGCCATAGATACAAATCCCTTTCAGGGCAAATTTAAAAAAATTAATTATCGATCTAGGCTCATAAACTGACACATCTAAAACTACACACATCAGGAATTGTCATTAAAAGTAAAGGTGGAAACATTATGACAACCACATTACCAATCGTATTATGAAAGATATGCCAAATGCAGTTCATTGACTGACGGTTTTCCCCCCATATTTGTTTATTAATTATATATTACCAATTTTAATATTCAGACATACAATTAACATAATAGTGAACACTAAAAAATATCATCATCGTCACGAAGCAGGTCCTTTGCAGAATCGCTCTCATAACAGTCTGCCGGGAAAAAACTCGGTCTCTCGCCAGCTCTTCCACCTCATGTACTTTCATACTCAAAGAGTCACTTATATCCTGTGCCCTTCTTCGTGTCAGTCGGCCCCTGCCCTTCCTTCCGCTTTAATTTTTTCCAATACGTCGTGGCGCTTGTGATATGATCAAAATATCTTAGCTTCCGAGGCAGGATGCTGTTTATTAGCCGATCTTCCTTTACGTTCAGATCTTTAAAGATGTCAGTATTTCTCCTCTTCTTTCTCAAAAATATACTATAGTACCATAGTGATGTACAGTCTAAACAAAAAGATTAGACAACTGAAAAATGAACAATCACAGTATGACTATCAGAAGAACAATTTTGAATTTTAAGTTAAAGTTAAGTCTTATAAAGTCTTAAATTATATAAATTATATCGATAGCTTTATTATTAACTCTTTGAGTCCCAAGGAACGCATCACGCCCTAATTGGTTACTACCTGGCGGCCCAATCAGCGCGTGACGTGTGACGGTTTTTAATTTACCACATATTGGTAATTACACGCGAACCGCTCAATTTAAACTTCCTTTCCGGTTCTCAAGTGTGTAGTGAACACACGTGGAGTGCATTTGTTTCGTCTGGTGAGTTTTTAACGCTTTAAATCGATATTTGTCTGGTCTACTATGTTACCAAACAATTGTCTGAAAACAATTTGTCCGATCAGTCATCGTCTTCACGCCCAGCAAAGCGATTTACTGCTTTAGAAGCATCAAATTTGATAAAACAGTGGATCGATCAAAGTAATGTGGAGTTGGATAATGATAGCAGTGACGTGGAATTTCCCCAAACCGTTGACGAATCAAGTTTTGATGAGGATGTGTGCGTAATTTACCTCCTGCCAAGAGGACAAAACTGACTAATTCTGCCATGGCAACACAAGAGAATAGTGGTGCTGAAGCACCTGGTAATGCGACACCAGCTAGTCCAAATGTCAGCGCTTCTGGTACTACTATCCATATCATCTAAAACCATAGATATATATCTATGAACAAGTTGACATGTTTACAGTGCCTTTACAGTTTTTTCTATGTGAGGAATTCAACTGTTTTTAGAAAAGTCACTGTTTGTGCCACTGGAGAATATATTTTGACGTGTTATGGTAGTGTTATTAAAATTGCTATGGAACAACAACTATTGCAAATTTTGCTTTAATATTGGCTGTGCTTACTTATAAGTGGTGTACCTTCCTTTGTCATGCATTTTGGATATACTATATCAAGAATTTTGGGATCAGCTTCTGGGTAAGTGGAAAAAACCTGTTCATAATTTACTCACCTCTCAAACTAAGTCACTGTTTTCTCTACTAAATACTAACAGTATAATTTTTTTTTTGAAGCAGTATGCTAATATTAATCTTTATCCATTTATGTTTATTTTCATGTATGATATGTGTATGTTGGACATCAGCTGCTGTTGTGTGGTTTGTTTTAAAGTGCTGCATTTGTTAAAAGTCAAAAAAATCATATTAACCCCCCCCCCCCCCCCCCCCCCCTTTTCCGGCCTCTGATGCAAAACCCCCTGAGACTCAAAGAGTTAACCACTTTATTTTAAAAAAAACAATGGCTGAGCAGAGATACTCGAAAACTTATTTAGAAACAAATAAACAAACTTCTTGCCTAGTTTTAAAATTATTCAGATGAATTAACTTCTGCTGTTTCCACCTGTGTTGTCGATTTCACGCAAACAAGTGTGTCGACTTTCTCTATTATAAACCTTTCCAGAATTTAGAAACTTCCGTGAGGCAAGAAGGGGCGTGATCAATAAACTGTTGAGAGCAGTCATCTCCCTTAGAACGATCTTCAACGTCTAGAGATAATTCTAGGTGCTCATGGTGTTTTCTTCAATTGCTAAGTATTTGAGACGTCAGTGGTTGTGGTTAAGATATCAGCTCATACCCACTCAAGGCAGCAGATTAATGTTTATATCCATAGAGTGCCCCAGTATAGCTATTGTAAACGATATCTGGGATTTGTTAGTTTTGGATTGTCATTAGGATATTGGCTAATTGAGTCACTGGGCACGAACCTTCAGGTCAGTCTCACTGCAGTCCGGAAAGGGAGGAAAAAAGAGACGAGAGTGGCAAGCAGTACAAACAACACAACAGTGAGGTCTTAAATTACTACCGAGGGACTACTGTATGTATTTAAGCTGTATATCGTATCCAGGATGAAGCTAAAGACCATCATTGCAATCACGGCGCATGTTTCTTTCATTATGTTATTGTCTTCATGTATGCCCACTTCTGGGGAAGAGCACGACGACGATTATGTGGACCCTACAGATCTGTTCAACTTTGACCCTGCCAGTGTAAGCATGAAAACGTCAAAGAAATCTAATAGAGTTAACATTGACCCCAACACTGTCTCTAAAGACATGTGTCAGCAGGCCGACACTTGTGATATGTCTTCTCGTCCTATTGGAAGTAATGGCAATGCTGAACATTCAAACAAAGACAAGAAGGGCGCCACAGGTGATCAAGAATATTCCAAGATAAAACAGTCTTTGGAGTCATCCATTGCCTTGTCTCGTCAGTATGTCAACAAGCTTGTGTACGTCCTGGAGCCTAAGGTTGGGACAGCCAGTAGCCCTGTTGAGATCAACCTGCGACTAAAGGTGTCCTACCATGATATTGTCAAGCTACGCAAGTTCGGGCAGGGCGGTTCTGATCACATCCATGATGTGTACGAAATTTTGAATTCTGTGGTGCAGTTTGCTAGTGAAATTATTCAGCCGGAATCATCTATTTATTGGCTTGAGGTGAAGACTGGTCTATCATCGGAGGTTTTATCTAAAGTGTTATACATAGTCATTGTTATCTTTCTGATACTGACAGTGTTATCAAGGTTGACTGTAACAAGGTGGATGTTATATAAACTCTTGTTCATACTATTTACTATCAGTGTAGTTTTCAACTGGATTGAAATGTATCAGAAACAACTGGCAGAGCAAGACAAAATTTTAATGATGGACAAATTTAGTAATCGTTGTCCAAAAATGGAGGAGCTTTCATTTTTCGGCAAAATAACTACATATTTATCACTATCTTTCACATTTCAGGATGAAAGCTGCAGAGAATATTTTCAGGCAATGGTGGTGAGTCCTTTGGTGAAAGCCTCCCCCATTGAAGCTGTATCAGTTGCCTTTGTTAAAACTGTGGTGACTCCTTTTGGAATCATTGGCACTGGAATAAAGGCATTTTTTGTTGGGCTGCTAAAAGACTTGCCTGTACAATATCAGACACTGGTGATAATAATTTTGTTTGTGTCAGTCT